GGTTGGGTCATTCTGGCCCAAAAACACAAACCCATTCACCAAAAAACGCGAAAACAGATCAAACACTAGACAGAAACGGAATCTGGACAGCAACAAAATGAAATTTAGGGTTCATTCCAATTGCGTCTCATTTTTTGCAAGAAAAACACATGCATGTAAATGTAGATCTATAAAGATTCAACTAGTAAAAATGACAGAAAATAAACTGAATAGTCTTTGATTTTTCAGAAAATATATACAAGCTTAAACATCCAAACTAAAACTAAAAAAAGAGAAAGCAAACATGGCAGATATTTAAAGGAAAACAGATATGGATTTGATGGGAGGAATCCCACCCACGGGATCAAGCTCCCACCATTTCCTTTACCATTTCCTTCAACATTTCCCTAAAAGAACCTTCTGTTTCGAAGCTAACCTCTCAAGGAAGAACACCCAAAAATGGAGCTCCTTTGAATCCTACTCAGTCACACTTCTGGAAGGCTCAGGAATTCCTTCTTTTAACCGTCGCTCTTCCTCCTTCAAAACTTCTCTTCTTCAGATTTTTTGAACCCCTCTTTTCCTATTCCTAAAAGGTTAAATGCTAAATTTGGTCCCTCAACTTTAGTGAGTTGCATATTTTTGGTTCTTCAATAATTTTTTGTACTTTTTTGATCCCTTAACTTTAAGAAATGCACACCGTTAGTCCTTCTGTCAATTTAGACCGTTAACTTTGTCATGTGGCATTTTTTATATTTTTTTATGACATGGTGAAAACAACATTAAAAAGTGCTGATTTGGAAATTTTTTTGATGATGTGTCAATGCCAACTCATAAACTAAATTTGTTTAGGATTTATATTTTTAATAAAAAATAAAAAAGTTCAACTCATCTTCTTCCTTTCTTTTTTTTTTTCTTCTTTCTTCCTCTTCTTTCTTCCTCTTCTTCCTCTGTTGCTGAGTCCCTTGAACCCAGCCATCCGAGTTCAAGGGAACCCAGCAGATCGAACCCAGATCTGCTGGGTTCCCTTGAACTCGGATGGCTGGGTTCAAGGGACCCACCATCTGCTGGGTTCCGTTGAACCTAGCAACTAGGTTCCCTTGAACCCGGATGGCTGGGTTCAAGAGACCCAGTAGATCTGGGTCCGATGGAACCCATATGCTGGGTTCCACCGAACCCAGATCTGCTGGGTTCAGTGAACCCAGCTCCACTTTTTTTTTTTTTTTTGTTATATGTTTGTTTGAAGAGATTTTTATGTAAATTACAGGTTGTGAGGATTTTTGAGATCCTTTTCTTCATATTTCTTAAGTATCGTCTAAATGATTTCAATGTTCAAAATGGAGAGAACATCACTAGTAATGGAAAGAACAGAAACAGTGACTAATGGGTTTTTATTTGTTTGGCTAGAAGGGTGTTTAGATGTTGAGAAAATATTTTCTGTTTGAACATGGCAAAACGTTTTGTCCATGTCATCACTTTTTTAAATTTTACACTCCACATCATCAAAAAAAACATAAAAAATGTCACATGTGCGGAGTTAACGGCCGAAATTAACAAAAGGACTAACAGTGTGTATTTGTTAGAGTTGAGGGATCAAAAAAGTGCAAAAAATTATTAAGAGATCAAAAATGTGTATTTCTTAAAGTTAAGGGACCAAATTTAATATTTAACCTTCCTAAAACCTCTATTTATATCCCTAGTAGGTAAAAACCTATTTAACCTCTCATCTTTCCAAATTTGAAAACTTTAATTTCTTATCTAATATTATGATACTTTTAACTTATTATCTTATTAAATTTATAAATTTTAACTTCTCATATATTAAAATCAAAAAAAATAACTTTCACTTTATATTAACTATTAATTCT